GATATTTAAATGACTTAATAGCAAAAATAGGCACTCAATCTGGAACATGAACCCAAATCATCTTGTTAAATCAATATTGTCTCTCAGCAACCAATAAACTCCAGAGAGTGAAGAAGGAATAAAGATTCTGAGTTAGGCACATAAATACATATAAACTATGGCAGTTTTAACTTTAAAGTTCTTTTTCTGGTAATCAAAAGAGGGAACTATATGAGAATATTTAAAAAAAATAAATTTTAAGTTTGGGGTTGAAAACTGAAGGAATTTCACATTTGCAATTCACTAACTTACTTATAAATTAATGATGAAAGTTAACTTGCAGAGAGGATTGATTTAATAAATATTAGAAACATGGAAAATATTTTCCAAGGGAACTGTGATTGAAAGTTACTTAGAAATAATTAAAGGATTTGTGAGCAGGAAAGTAAGCTTATTTGAGGTTCAAGAATATAAACATACAGTGGAGGCCTACCATTGCAATCCTGCACTTTATAGCTGAATCAGAATGGCCGTACCTCCACAACTTCTCTTATGTCTGAAATTTTGAACTGTTGGGTAGATAGTTAGGACCTCTAGTTCTTCTAGGGGGAAAAGGATGAGGAGTCTACTCAGTGATGTCCCACCTTGATCCTGCACTGAGTAATTCCACACACCTGGCAGAAGAGAGGGTACCCTACCAATCTACCAGTCAGAACTTAGTGTGCCAAGTGCAAGAGGATTCAGAGGACTCCCCAGCGGCAGGCCAAATACCATGGCATAGTGGGTTCTGGAAGGTAGCCTAGAATAACCTTAAGGCTAATTATCACATCATTACGTTAAATTTACCTTGTAGTTCACCTCCTTACTCCCATGGGAGGTCTGCATACACAGTAAGATTCAGGTCATGTAACTCCCAACTGTCCATCAAAGTGGCTCCATGATGATGTCTGAGAAGGGACCAATCTAGACACCATAAAATGAGACCCCAATGAGAAGGGACCAATCTAGACACCATAAAATGAGACCCCAGATAGTGACCCAATCCTTTCTGCAGTGACAAGGGGTCTGTTCGCCATCTATGGCGAATGTATCTTACTCTGCAAACATTATCTTGCTCTTGCTCTGTAAACCTTTCTCTTCCTCAATAGATTTTTGTTTTAAGTTCACCTTGCTTTTGCTAGCTCTGGTCATTCTTCAGCCAACAGTACACCAAGAACCCAGAATGTAAACTGCATGAACTTGACAAAACTAGTTGGCAAAATATAGAATATTCACTTTCACATGTAAAACTCCAGCTTTGTTGTTTTTTTTTTTTTTCAAAACAATGAAAAGGGAACATTTAACAATTGCACTAGAGCTGTGTAACAATGGATTGGAGTCACTAACCTTGAGGAGTAGCAGAATCTGGGGCCACTCTCCAGAACTACCAAATTAGAATCTTTATTTTAACAGCTTCCAGGTATCTTGTCAACTTAAGCAACAATGGTATAGAAAACTCCAGAAGTACAGAATGCTAGAAAATATTAAAACTTAAACACAAAACCAAGATAATCAAATGCCTTAGATTTTTGACTAAAATGGCCTACATTATATGTTAATTTTTTAAAAGATTTTCTAGTACCCATCATTTATAAGGCTTTATTTTTATTTTAATTTTTTCTTAATTAAAATGTGCAATTATATTTAAATCTGAAGTCTATCATTGTTTTTAAAGGTATCTAATTCAATGATCAAGGAATAGCAACCTAAATATCCATATTGATGAAAATGAATCTGAACTTAATTAGATTTCAATAATTTCTTCAGAATCCACGTTGGGGGAAAGTTAAAAGGATTTTCTTTTCTTTTCTCATATCTCAGCCAATTCTTGTTAGTTATCCATTTTGAAAGATGTTCACCTTTTGTCATTCTTTTAGGAAAGTTGAGTTGTTTTATTTTATTTCAGTAACAAATTGACACTTAAAGCATAAAATAGCCTGTTTGTTGATGGCCCACAAGTAATTTCTCCTAAATAGAAAGATGCCCTACCAACTGGAGAAGCTATTACACTAATTTGAATTTTGGTCACCTTAGCCCATAAGACTGCTGACTATGTTGGCTCCTAAGTGTTTACAAGTGAATCATTGACTGTTTGTGCAATTTCAATGCTAATTGTTGCTTCAGGTTTTCAAATGGCTCAGCAGTAAGACATTAATGATTATTCATGCCTTAAGAAGGGCTGATAAGGGAATGAGATTACGATCTTGTACAATTTTAGTGAACAAATTAAAGAGTAAATTAGATTTACCCTTAGATAGAAAATAACTACTTGGAGAGGCCAATAGAATGAGAAACTTCATTCACTTTCAAATCTTCTCTTTCCCATTTTACAGATATTCAGAGTATCAGAGGGCTAGCGGTGGATTGGGTCTCACGTAATTTATACTGGATTAGCTCAGAATTTGATGAAACACAAATTAATGTGGCAAGATTAGATGGCTCTTTGAAAACTTCAATTATCCATGGAAT